GTGTCAATACGTTAAATGGAGTTACAACATCGATTAAACAGTAAGAGCTTTTAAAATATGGAGCTGGGCAGAAAGGGAGGCATTCTTAAACACATCGGGAGTTCTAGGACTTTGAGTTTCGGTATTGGAAGCTCTCGATTGATGACAATGTCCATCTCTCCTTATCAAATCATGATTCAAGTGCCACTGGTTTAAGTGGGAGTACATTCTTCGATTAAAAATAAGTTTTAAGATCACGTGGCGGACAGAAAGGGAGATGTCACCCAATACGGGAGCTTTCGTTAACGACGGTTTGGTATTGAAGCTGATTGGAAATGACAAGTCCCTTCCTCTCAGAATTGTGACCTTGGAAGTGCACTGCGTTTAAGTCTGAGTACCTATATATTTTCCGATTAAAAACAATAAGTCTTTCAATTATCATGAGTTGGTCAGGCAGAGGAGACACTTTCATTTAATAGTGAGCATCGCTGAAATAATAATCTTGATTTCATTCAATAGTGAGGCATTTTGTAACTAATGAACTTGAATTAAACAGTTTTAATCGGAGTTAAATCGGCTTGGACTTCGGACGCTCGCATGCAAGGTACATGCGACTAGAAGAAATTGAGCATTTTTCAATGTTTCAGGAGTGATAATGGGTTTGCAGAATGAGTAATTGTCATTATGCTAATATATTCATGACGCTTCTTCTGAATTTTTAATTGGATTTGTGTTTCTTTCAATCAGTTAAAAACAACTCAATTATCTACGAATTAACCATGTGGTTTTCTTTGCGTGTAATCGGGGCTACGATAGATACATGGCTCTATAAACAATCTAATCGTCTTCATGGCAGGTTTCCTACAGTCTGATATGAAATATTGTTAGTATGTTGTCTCTCTGCATAAAGGATTTCGAAGATTTAAAAGCATTATTTTGCAAAAATTTTCAGTAAAATTTTGTCATTCAGAGTTTGCAATTATCCATAACTGAAGGGTTTCGGAGCAGCGTAATTATAAACATAATTTTCTCACAACAAGGCATTCGAACTTGTCCACTTAGACGTTTTTACTAAAAATTAAGCATTGTGAGAAATGCTGAACAAGCAAAGATACAAAATTTGGGAATTACACAAAATTAAAAGAAATGATTGAGAAAGTCACAATACAAGACATTTCTTCTGAATTTACATGAAGCTGTAATTTCTTCGGTATAAGAAATTCGGGAAATTAATGTTGCTCCGAGCCGCATTTGAAGAACTTTTACTTTAAGGTATTTTTTAAAATTTTGGCAGAGACGGAACTATTTAATTTTTTTCAACTTCTTTGTATTCTGATTTGGAAGGAACACAAAACGCTTAAACGCGTGCAGCAATTCTTAAAAAAACATAGTGAGTTTTGGCTTTGTCTTGCACCTTTTAACAAACACAGCAGAATAAGAGGTTCAAAATTTTGTTATTACAAACTATATGAACAAGTAAATGTATAAAGTATGACTTATTAAGGTGTAGTGATTTTCGAATCACATATATTTGAAGAAATTATTGGTTCTGGTAATCTATGTAAGAAGCCAAAGGAGGGACAAGTTAAGAAAATTTATCGGCAATGACGATACACTGGGTTGAAAATCCGACTAAGAAGAATGACATGGGTCAAGAATATTTTTCAAAGTTTAGTTGTTGTTACTATCTCTCTCCAACAAAAAAAACCAAAAGAAAAAAAAAAAAAGCGTTGCCAACGGCCCAACCGACCCAAACGCGTGCTCGACAGCATTGGTGCCAAAAAAAAAAAACCGAAGAGACAAAAACTAAACAGCGTGCAGAAAAAAAAAAGCAAAAA